CCTTCCATTCATAAGTGGAAAGCCCTCGTTGTGTAATTATTATATTTTATTTTTTCGATTGAATCTTCGTTCGGCAAATCTGCTCATCTGCGATGTAAAAACGACAATTGCCTTTTCTCTGAAACGTTCAATTGATTTTTTAAAACTTCTTATATATTATAATTTAAAAAAACTTATTTATATTTTAATGCACCCAACTGGATTATTGAACAGCAAATTCCTTATCTCGATAACTTTACTGAAATACTATGCACACATTTTCTAAATTCAATAAATTTAATTAATTATTTTTTCAATTTTACCATCCCGTTTAAAATTGAAATGCCTTATCGTTCCACTCTCGGAATAAGAGGACATTGTTCAGAATATCATTAGATCTTCAATTGCAGGAGATTCATTCATATTAAACCTCCATCAACCTCACCGCAGAAATAATCTTGATTAATTAACATATTTTTACTACTTTCAAATCCCAGAAAATTTAGATTAAATTTGAAATATGACTTGCGATGAATATTGCTATTAGATACTGTAATGGTCGTAGTATAGAATGTAGTAAATATTGATGAATTTAGTGCTAAATAAAATATTTAGGAGCACATATAAAGACACACCTCCACTTGCACCAATACCTCAAGTGCGCGTGAAGACATCAGCGAGCATCAGCAGTGCAGAGCAAGGCTGTCGCAATGGAGCTGCTGCAGCAGCGGAGTAGCGGCCACACGTCGCGCTCTACAACATCCTTCCTCATCGACGACATCCTCCTGCACAGACCCAAGGTGACCTAGCTGACCTCTTGTCCCAAGATGACCTAGCTGATCTGTTGACCCAAGGTGACCTAGGTGACCTGTTGACCCAAGGCGACCTTGCTGGTCTGTTGACCCAAGGTGACCTTGCTGATCAGTTGACCCAAGGTGACTTAGCTGACATGTTGACCCAAGGTAACCTAGGTGACCTGTTGACCCAAGGTGACCTAGCTGACCTCTTGTCCCAAGGTGACCTAGCTGGTCTTGTGACCCAAGGTGACCTAGCTGACATGTTGACCCAAGGTGATCCATCTGGTCTGTTGACCCAAGGTGACCTAGCTGGTCTGTTGACCCAAGGTGACCTAGCTGGACTGTTGACCCAAGGTGATCCCAAGGTGACCTAGCTGGTCTGTTGACCCAAGGTGATCTAGCTGACCTGTTGACCCAAAGTGACCAAGCTGACCTGTTGACCCAAGGTGACCTAGCTGACCTGTTAACCCAAGGTGACCTAGCTGACCTGTTGACCCAAGGTGACCTAGCTGACCTGTTGACCCAAGGTGACCAAGCTGACCTGTTGACCCAAGGTGACCTAGCTGACCTGTTAACCCAAGGTGACCTAGCTGATCTGTTGACCCAAGGTGACCTAACTGACCTGTTGACCCAAGGTGACCTAGCTGACCTGTTGACCCAAGGTGACTTGGCAATGTGGACCCACCAAGGTGACCTAGCTGGTCTGTTGACCCAAGGTGACCTAGCTATGTGCTGTTTTATGCAACACGGCTCAAGACTACTTGTCCTGAAACTTCGCT